GAGTCAACAGACTAGGCAGGATCCCTAGATCAAAGGCCACAAAGATCAATGGGTAACACCCAAAGCAGAAACATCACCCATCTCCAGTGAAATCAAGTAGTCAATCCTTTGTGAATAACTTGTTCTGCAAGTACTCCCCAAGACAAGCAAACATTTCTCAGAAATTTTAACTTGATAAACAACCGAAATCTTGCAATACAGTATGTCACACTGAATGTCACATGATCTCAACTGGTAATTGGTTCTTTTCTCTCTTTTTCCTTCCCTCATTCCTCTGATAGTTCTCACAACAGTGCATGCCTGTAATATGAGCACCCAGAAGGCTGAGGCAGGAGAACTGCTGCAAGTTCAAGACCAGCCCAGGCTACGTAGTGAATTCAAGGCTAGCCTGAACTATATAGCAAGACTCTAGGGGGCCAGAGAGATGGCTCAGTGGAATAAGCGCTTCCCTGGCAAGCACAAGAGTCTGAGTTCAATCCCCAGTTCTGCCAAAAAAAAAAGACTGTCTCAAACAACAAATTCTTTGAATTACAAGTGAAACAAAATTATTTTTGCAAACCAAGGTGTTACTGTACTCTTACAATACTGGTTACCCAGGTTACCAAGAATATTGCTGGCCACTTAGGCAAAGAGGAAACCCTATCTACGTACCTCAAGCACCATCATTTGCTATAAGACCTCTAATATTAATGAGTTCACTAGATAGCCTAAGGCATTACTCCATCAGAGAAAATTCCAAAACTACAGAAACATATGAACACAGTGTACCTTTAAGATAGAAAAGCTCTCTGACATTTGGGGCCAAAAAAAGTCTTTACTGTGCTGGGCTGTCTTATGCATGGCAAGATGTTTAGTAGCACCCCTGGCCTCTACCCACTAGATGTCAACAGCACTAACTCCCAGTAGTATGTCAACCAAAATACCTCCAGACATAGCCAAACGTCTCCTGGAAGACAAACTCACATCTAATTAAGAACCAATACTGTAGGATAATAAGTAGCTGAGACAGACTAAAATCCCAAAATAGCTGCTTGAATCTCCCTGCTACATAACCTGAGAAAGATGGGGTACAGCTGGAAAAGCAAAACCTGAAGCATCAATGCTTCGGGGGCCAAAAAAGTAATACAAACTGGCAAAGGAAAAAAGTCTGGGTATAAAATGAGAGGAATAGGGGCTGGGAGATGGCTCAGTAGAATATGCGCTTGCCTGGCAAGTGCAAGGGCCTGAGTTCAATCCCCAGTTCCACCAAAAAAGAAAATAAATAAAATAAAATAAAATGAGAGGAAGCAGAGGTAATGGTAATGGCCTGGGGAGAGGACGCTCTTTTTTTTTTTTCTTCAGTACTGCAGATTGAACTCAGTATCCTACTCTCACCAGGCAAGTGCTTATTCTGAGCTTATCTCCCCAATCCCAGGACACTCTATTTATTTATTTATTTATTTATTTATTTATTTATTTTTTTATTTTTATTTTTATTTTTATTTT